GCGTCAAGGAGTGGGCGGGGCCTTGGCGATTGGCGCGGAGGGAGTAGGGTAGGCGCTGTGGGAGGGAACGCCAGTGCAAGGCGGTGAGCGGAGGTGGTCGCGTGAGGTGCAGCGCCTCCGCTTCAGGTGTGACTGGCAGCTGTGGCTGGGCAAAGAGCTAAGAGGCGAGTGCGATACTCCGAACTGTGTGAGCGCAGTCACCATGGACCGCCCAGGTGAGGGGCCTCCAGCCAAGACCCGTCGCCTGAGCAACTCTGAGCCCCCTCAGTGCGACCTGCCCCCGCCGCCGCTCCTGCGCCCGCCCCTGCCTCCACCCCAGCAGCGCCCACCAGCAGCGCCCAAGGCTCCGGGAGGAAACCGAGGCGGCACAGGTGCTGGCTGACATGAGGGGGGTGGGACTGGGCCTCGCGCTGCCCCCGCCGCCACCCTATGTCATTCTCGAGGAGGGAGGGGTCCGTGCGTACTTCACCCTGGGAGCTGGGGGTCCTGGCTGGGAGCCTACGACTGAGTCAGGGTATGGGGAGGTGCCCCCTCCCACAGGGAACCTGGAAACACTCCCCTCTTCCGAGGTCTCTGGGGGAAGCCTGGAAATTGACTTTCAGGTTGCTGAGGAGAAGGCCCTAGAAACCTGTAGCGCATGGGGGCGGGGGTCCCAGAGGTTAGTTGGTCCAAAGAGGAAGGAAGAGGCTGTCATCTTAGTGGAGGATGAGGATGAAAAGGAAAGTGTGAGGAGAAGGAGGAGGAGGAGGAGGAGGAGGAGGAAACAGAGGAAGGTGAAGAAGGAAAGCAAAGAGAGGAATTCCGAGAGGATGGAGAGCATCCTACAGGCGCTGGAGAACATTCAACTGGACCTGGAAGCGGTGAACATCAAGGCAGGCAAGGCCTTCCTTCGTCTTAAGCGCAAGTTCATCCAGATGCGAAGACCCTTCCTGGAACGCAGAGACCTCATCATCCAGCATATTCCAGGCTTCTGGGTCAAAGCAGTATCCTTCTCATCAATACTCATGGGCCAGAAACCCATGACAGGAAGGGGAAGGTGGGAAGGGTGAAAGGGTGTGGATAGGGTTGGTCTCCCTACCAGAAAACTGACTATATTGGGTGGGGGAGGGATGAAAGGAAGAGAGCAAAACAGCAGAGAAGCTGGACTGTTGATGAAGTAGGGAGAGGGACACACAACATAAAAACTGGACCATGGATGGGAAAGGGAGGAGAGGAACATGACATAAAAAAATGAATCACAGGTGGTGAAAGGAGGAAGGTAGTAAGTAGAGGGACACAGAGCAGAAGAAATGGGCCAGAGATGGTGAAAGGAGGAGGGAGAGGCACATAGATGATGTACTGACTCAGTGAAGAAGACGGAAGGGCATACAGCCCAGAAAGGGTACCATAGCCCCATGGGGTTCTACAGGTCTAGATTGCTGCTTAGATACTAGATCCCAGTCCTGGCTGGGGTGCCCTACATTGGAAGCAAGGGGGCTAGAGAGGGGCTGGATCTCTGAATGATCAGGAGAGGGAGTATCTGAGTATGGAGATCTATGAGTTGAATGAAGGAAAGGGGGAAGAGTAGAAAAGAACTCCATTCATTATTGGTGACTAACTTTATCTCTGGAGAAATATATACATATATGTAACATGCTAGGAACATGTGGGTTTAACATACTAACAGAACTACATGGATCTAACTCTTGGCACCCTAATACAAAGTACCACATGATCACAGGCCCTTAGCACTCAAGTATACAGTATCAAAAAGACACAGGACCTTGGCATCCAGTCCTAGTGTTATTTAGCCATAGATTTTCAGCAAGCAGACATACAGTAATGCTTGGACATGGGCTGTTAGAGCCATTCATGTCACATGTGGATACAGACTGTCAACACCTACACATACAACATTGTGCAACCACAGGCTATCATCAACCAGATATAGCCTCCTGTGGACATAGGCCTTCAGCCCCCAGATACACAGCATTTTGTGAACACAAACCCAAAGCACTCAGAGACAAACATTACATGGACATAGACTCAATTCCAGACAATACAGAAAATTTGAACCATGGCAGGGCTACCTAACACAGAGGTTTACCACTGGATAAACATGAGCTCTCACCAGGGTATCATGGAGATAAAAGTATAGGTCATGTCTATCACCCACTTGCTTCGACACACATCACATGAATACAAAAGGAATACTCCTGCTCTAGCCTTTTGTGCCTGCCTGTACACCTCTCTGTCTCTCTCATTGAATAGTCAATCCTTGACCTAAACTGCTCCACTCATCAGTTCCTCAACCACCCCAAAATTTCAATCTTGATTAACCAACGCGATGAAGACATTTTCCGCTACTTGACCAATCTGCAGGTCAGGCCAAAGAGACTTTTTTTTTAGGACCAGGCAAGGAATCTGGTCCTTGGAGGTGAGGGGAGGTGGGTAGGAGGGGCCATGGTATGTGGAGAGGGAGAATATTCCACCATAACCTCCACCCTGAGCAGGTACAGGATCTCAGACATATCTCCATGGGCTACAAAATGAAGCTGTACTTTCAGACAAACCCCTATTTCACAAATATGGTGATTGTCAAGGAGTTCCAGCGCAACCGTTCTGGTAAGAGGTAATCCCAGGATTAATCCATGTCCCTCTATCTATTCTTGTTGAGTTTCCTGTCCATATCCCACTCTCCCTCCAGGCCGGCTGGTGTCTCACTCCACCCCAATTCGCTGGCACCGGGGACAGGAACCTCAGGAGTACAAGCACAGGAACAAGGGTACCAGCAACAGCTTCTTCAACTGGTTCTCAAACCACAGCCTCCCAGAGGCTGACAGGATTGCTGAGGTGGGGCTCCTAGCATTGCCAGAGAAGGCCTTGCTAAATTTGTCCCTGGATACCTGGGGAATTAAGATTAGAGTCTCGGGCTTGTACCTTTGGCTTTTTTCTTCCTTCTACCCTCTTTCTCAACAGATTATCAAGAATGATCTGTGGGTTAACCCTCTCCGCTACTACATGAGAAGAAGGGGCTATAGGGCAAGCAAGAAGAAGCAAGAAGAGAAGGAAAGGTGATTAAGGGTTGGTGACTGATAGGTGGTTTGTTGGGGATGGGGCAAAGACTAGACTAGTGTCACACAGGATTTATGGACCCAAAAGAGACCTTTGAGATAAACCAGTGCTGATGTTTTACAAGTGAGGAATGATGCCCAGAAACAGCCTGAGGTTACACAGTTGAGGACAGAAATAGGAATGTTCCCTACCGTGGGAGCCCTTGTAGCCTACTGCTTCTTCAGTTACTTACCACCTTTCAGTGTCTTCCCTGGGTATACCCCTTCCTACCAACCCGATAATCAGTCCCAGGCTTTCCCACAGTAAAACCAAGCATGAATGTGAAGTGGTGATCATGGAAGATGCTTATGACTATTACGCAGTAGAAGATGGTCTCAGTGAGTTCTCAGACATTGATGAGACCACCGACAATGAGACCATTCATGACATCAAGATCTCTGATTTCATGGAAACCACTGACTACTTCGAGACCACTGACAATGAGATAACTGACATCAATGAGAGCCTCTGTGACAGTGAGAGCCCTGATTACCATGAGGGCCCTGACAATGAGACCACTGATAACAATGAGAGTGCTGATGATGAGACCACCGACAACGAGAGTGCCAATAACAATAGCAGCCCTTACAACAACAGTGAGGACACTGATGGTGACAAGAACCTCAAAGGCGGCAACCAGGACAGCAGTGATAGTGACAATGAAAGGGATGAAGAGAGTGATGATGAGGATAATGATGGCAATGAAGGTGACAATGAAGGCAGTGATGATGATGGCAATGAAGGTGACAATGAAGGTAGTGATGATGATGAAAGAGACATTGACTACTATGAGAATAACATTGACGACTTTGGCAAGGTTCAGGTTAATAGCACCAACCAGGATGACTACGAGGACAATGTAGAGATCATCTCAGAAGAATCAGTGGAGGAAAAAGAGGAGGTCAGTGAGGAAGGTGAGCTAGACACCATTTTGTTTTCCCTCCTTTCTTTTCCCAGGGTCAGGGTATCAAAGCATGAATACAGTCTGTTCACAGAAAGAAAAAGCATTCTGTGCAACTTTTAAACAATTGAAGGCCAGGGAACATTTAACTTACAAATGTAACAATGCCAAAGGGACAGATTTCAGTTCTATGTGATGGGACTATAGGTTGTAACAGAACAAAAGATAAATGAAGAATAGACAGAGATATACAGTGGATGGAAAACTAAAAAGGACAGGTTCACACAGGGTGTGTGTGTGAGGGGGATAGGGAGTGGCACATGCATTGCAACTCAGCACACTCTGTACCCAGCCCTGGCCTTCTGGGTACAGGCTTGTTTAGGGTAAAGTGAACAACTTGCTCTGTGAGTCCAGAGGATGGAGCAGTTAATTCTGCCTCCAAGAGTGGGGAAGGGGAACTGTAGAGAAAGGAGGTGACATTTGAATTTGAAACAGCATTCCCACTGAGGAGCATTATGAGCATGCTCAGTGGAAGGGATTATATGAAAAAGATCCTGGGAGGGTGAAAAATACATGCTATGTGGATAAGGTTTCCAAAATTGTCTGAGGACCCTTCACTAGTTTTGAAAATTGTTTCTCACAAAAGGATTAGTAGTAAAATATATTGAAGCAGATAAATAACGTCTTGTAGAGTAACACCTTAAAGTCTTCAAGAAGTCTTGCTGTAAAAAAAATTGTATTTCACTTTGCAGAACCCAGCATTCCCCAAACTTTTTGACCACAGAAGCCATTGTTCATTGCTCACCAAAGAACTCATTTTGGGAGATGCTGAGGAAGGATGGTACACAGGGACTTGAGGGAGAAGGTGTATTTAAGGCGACTCCCAGGTTTGGTTCTGGACTGGATGACTGACAGAAGGAGATATTTGAGCCTGGCTATAAGCAGACAAAGGAGAGGTGGACCCTTGGAAGAGGTAGAGGAGGCAGGAAGACCCAACCACTCCTGAAGTTTGGGGCCATATAGTCCCTGGCAAGCTTCAGTTGAGGATAAGGGCAGAGCACCTAGGAAAGAGGCATTGAATGAATGAGTAGCTTCGATCTAGACATATTTTCAGGTAGAGTAGGGAAACTGAGGGTGTTGTCAGTCCTCT